CCGTGACCCTGCGGGTCGTAGGAGGCGACGAAAAGGGAATCTCAAATCTGACACAGTAAAATACGGACATGAGTTAAAAGGGACTCGGACCCGAGAAAGACCGCGTTGACAAGGGCCAGTAGCGTAGCGTCCTCTCGTTGGATAGGACGCCCCACAAAAATAAGACCGTAATTGTCAAACGGTAATAATTAATATCTGGTCATGAGCCCCAGATGGGGCTCGACACCAAGCTTTACTGTCTAACTGACCGTCAGTCGCAATGTGACTTTGACTTTGATTACGCTGCCGTTGTCTCCCCAATATATGTATAAAACAACAGAATTGTCTTCGTTCCTTCCTCCCTCTCTCTCTCTCCCGGCCCCAATTTGTATCTTAACTCCTCTCGTGGAGGTCGAACATAACCTTAAAATAATGACAAACTTGTTTGAAGTCCTGGAGTTACTTCCAGTAACAGTTACTCCGAATGTACAGTAAGTTCGGCAGGACCTGAGCTATGGCCTTGAGACGTGCAGGGTCGCTTTGCCGTCGGAACTGGGGGGGGGGGGGTCATTTCCCTCTCGCGCATCTCAAGAGTTCCTGTCCTACTGAACAACTACTCAACGGGACGATAAGGTTTAGATATGTAAGCATGATGTGCTACAGAATGCAGAGTTGCCTACTATCAAGCGTATTTGTATTTTACTTAATGATGTAGTCAGCGCTGTCATGATCGGAAGGCGGTGAATAATTAATTTGACAGGGTATTAAAGAACGCGGTTCTGATCTAATTAAAGTATTATATCGACATGCACCTGAGAGACTACGGAAAACCACGTGAAATCGACAACGCTCCGGCTGAGATTCGAAGCGACACTGCTTGAATACAAGACAAAGACTTTATCCCTTGAGCTAACTTGCTGAATATGACTATTTTTCTCCCCCTTGGCACTACAACCCCAGTGGGCCTAGGCCTACCTCCATGAACTTCTCCGTTCACTTCGGTTTTTCTAGATCTTACACAATTGGTAGGACTCCTTGGCCGGGTGATCAGCTCGTCGCAAGGCCTCTACCTGTACACAAACACAGAAAAACGCACACACACAAACTAAACATCCATGCCCTGAGTGGGATTCGAACCCACGATCCCGGTTTCCAAGCGAGCGAAGAAAGTACATGCCTTAGACCGCTCGGCTACCGTGACCGGCCGCAAGGCCTCTACCTGTATACAAACACAGAAAAACGCACACACACAAACTAAACATCCATGCCCTGAGTGGGATTCGAACCCACGATCCCGGTTTCCAAGCGAGCGAAGAAAGTACATGCCTTAGACCGCTCGGCTACCGTGACCGGCGAATATGACTACTAAAGATGGTTAATTTCTCCCTGTGCTTAACTAATTAAGCACTACGCCATGAAGGCGTATGGGAAGTGGATGTATAGATACACATTTTGTTGGCCTTGGCATTAGATGGAGATGAGTGCTCAGTTTCACGTCCCGGCTGTTTTACCCCAGGGGAAATAGCCCCGGTACCCATTGGATAGGAGGATGGGTGAGCCTCAGAGCCGGTCTGGACTATATGGAGAAGGAAAAATTCTTGACCATGCCGGGACTCGAACTCCGGTCGTCCAGCCCGCAGCCAGTCTCTATACCAACTGCGCTATCCCGGTTCCCTTTGGATATGACTCCTAATATGGTATATAAGATATGGCTACCACAGCATGAATACAGCCTCTTTCCCTCTCTTACTAGAACATGCGCTGTGCAGATGAAGCATTTGTTATTGTGGAAGAAACCAAATCAACACTAATGATTCCATATATTCTGTGGGAAATGGTCGGCTTCCAGTAATGTTCACGGAATAATGTGCCACAAAGATGGCGCTGTATACAGGAGTGGGTCTAGGTGTACCCACTCCCTGTTTCCTGCTCCGGCTGGCCTAGTAGTATCTGAAAATGATTTATGTTCTACAGGGACCAATATACGTATATCATAAGTTCCACAACATAGAGTGTGGACTAGGAGTGGCTCCTACTTCTCCAAAACGTACATATCATATGTACTTACGAGAAAGCGTCACAAATATCCAAGTTACACATAAATTTATAGGACTAAGTCGGAGGAGAACGGGAAAACTTACGTCACTTGAGTAAAATTTATAATTTTTTTTTCACGTGTATTTTACATTGGATCAGGTGTGTAGTATGCTTTGTTGTTGTCGTGTGCATTACCAAAGATTCGAACCCACACCATGATCCTAAATTTTTAAGATACGAATATAAAAACACTTCCTTACACGATTTTTGGGTAACGTTACGTTACAGGCGAAAAATTAATTTTAGTCGAATGCTGATGGATCCGTACTGATGTCAGTATATTCTCGCAAAAAGCATTTTTAAAAATGTTAAATATTTAAAAATTGTTCGCAATAACTGGACATATTTCATAAATACGAAGTATATACGAATAAATACGTATATGAAAATATTTTGGAATCGCTTTAGAATTGTCCATTCTCGCACAATATTGTGGCGTATTGTTACATGAAAACCCATTGCTAGGCGGCGGGGCGTTAAACACGTTGTCGCAAAAGCAAACGCGGAGCAATAGAACGTCTGTTGCTAGGCAACGAAGGGGTAACAAACTTCTGTGTAGGCAGTGACGTCACACAACAGTGGATACAGACCCTGTGACGTGTTTTCTATAGGTCGGCGCTGAAGATTTATAGGAGACAACAAAGGTCGTTTGCTGGCTCTCGTAAGCTGGAGAGTCCAGAAGAATTTTGAGTTGAGTTCCGAGGTCCAGGGTGATTGAACAAAAAATGGCAAGAAAATTTAAAAGTGATCTGAAGTGATAGTTTCTGTGTTGAGATCCGTTGCTAGGAGACGACTAGGGGAAACTGAGAATTTTAATGCTTGTGCAACGTTAAACTGGAATGTGTGTAAATCAAAGACAGCACTGTATTAATTGTAATTAAGAAGAAACTTGTAATTGAAATGCTAAAAATCCCATTAGAACACATTATTTTCGTCACGTGTCCCACCATATACGTGACACTATCATAAATTCGAGGTGTTAAGGCAAGCATTAAATGAAATCTGGGGTCGGCCATACTCACTTTTCTAATACGGGTATAGTAAATGAAGACAATACATACGTACATGTACTAGAACCTCAAACCTTGCAGTTCCATCAAAATTTACAGTTTACCAGCATTCGCTATATCTCCATTACAACACTTTTTCTATAGTACGCACGGGATATTGAAATATTCAAGTACGTATGTTTCACTCACTCATGGATCTGAGTCCTTGAGAAACCGTCAATTGTGCAGCTACTCAAGAACTTCCCAGCATTTTATGGAACCCAAAAGTTCATTACCGTGTTTACAAGAGCTCTCCACTGGTCAATATCCTGAGCCAGATCAATCCACTCCATCCCATCCCATCCCATCCTATCCCTCTAAGATCCATTTTAATATTGTTCACCCACCTGTGTCCTGATCTTCCGAATGGTCTCTTTCTTTCTGGCTTTCCTACCAATATCCTATATCCATTCATCTTCTCCTCATTCGTGCTACATGTCATGCCCACCTCATCCTACTTGACTTGATCATTCTAATTATACTTGAGAAAGGGTACCTAATTATGAATTTTTCTCCAATTATTTAAGTATATTTAATAATAAATATTACATAATATACAATTTCGAATTATGTATATTATAATAATTTTATATATAAATTAATATTAACGTTAATGTAATAATATATTAATACCTGCGAACAATGACGGAAATTTTTGTTGTTTGTTCACCCACGTTCTATGTCGATGCCAGGTTTCTATGCTCCACAAGTCATGGCAGTTAAGATGTAGTGCCATTCAGCAGTGCATGGGCAACATCTGCCGCGGAGTTTCGAGTGGCCACCGTGTTCAATGGCGGACAGCTTTCAGTGTTCTGATATTCGTCAAAGTTCCACAAAATTCAGCTAGTTCTTTTGAACATTCACAGCGAAGTTGACTAGTCATAACTCATCTAATTTGGACATTTTCTAAAATGGAATTTCAGAATTAACTAATTCCACGGACAAGATTCATTATACTGAAACTGGCTGTCTCTCATCTGGTCAAGATTTTATGGCCTTTCATACAAAGTGAATGTCCTTTGTCATGTGCAGAAGAACCCGTCCTTGGAACTTAACCTGACCCACCACTGTATTCAATTTTTTTAAGATGAATTACAGTATTATTCTCTCACTGGTTCCTTGCCCTCCAAATTTCTCTGTAATTCCAAATTTTATAATTAAAATTTAGTATGAATTTCTCAGTTCTCACATTTGTGCAGAATTCTCCAAGTCGAACAATTGAAGTTCCTGAGGTGGCAGATAACTTACAAAGCATACCCAAGGCTCTAGTGTTTATATTTCGTTGCAAAATTAATTGATAAGCCATATTATGAATTTAATAATTATGACAAGGAATAAATATAAAAATTAAAACCTATTACGAAGGAGAATTAAATTAAGTGTAACTACATTCCATACATCATCTGAAATCATACAAGTTTCAGAAATATACGAGACGTATCCGAAGTCGGATACTTACAGACAGAACTCTCGAGGAAAGCTCTCGTGAACACAGAAATGCAGCCTGGGTTCTCGAAACGGCAGGGATTTTCCTGATCAGGTACTCAAATGTAACACTTATAAGATGGATACAGAGATATTGGGTTTTCGGACTTTGTCCATCGTCCGGATTCTAAATAACTAAGAAAAACACGACGTTTCGGAAACTGGATCTGTTTCCGACACGTACTCTGTTGGGTCCCTTCGAAACCACGATTCATTATTGTAAGCCTTCATGTGCTACAATTTCTGGGACACACGTAACTGTAGGCCAGATGCACGTAAAGCAGCAAACACAGAGGTAGACACACTCCATAATGCTCTATTCCTGATTACTGTCTCTCTGTATATGTCTAAAGTTCTTATGACATTAAAGAATATTTAAACCGTACTCACCTTCTACGAACATCCAGAAAAAGTTGGTGAGATGGAAGTAATGAAGTAGAACAACCAGGATGACACAGGACGTGCTGTCCTCCTGCATGGATATCTGTGGAGAGACAATAACAAGTCACGCAGAATGAAAAGAACAGCGGGGCTGTTGCGTCGATTTAGTCTCAGTGTCAGATGATGTTTACTGAAATGGCGACGATATACTAATAACCCATGCTGAATAAACAGAGGACAGACAGCATCGGCATGCTGTGTAAAGAAATAAAGGTAATATAACACCCTTTTTTAATTTTAACAGAGATAAGATTTGAGGTTTTCACTGCAGTTACTATGAAGAATGCCGTTTTCTGGGATGTGGTGCCGTGTAGCTCTTGTGTGAACTGACGTTTCGGAGGAACGTATCGACTCCATCTTCAGGGTAGAAAAATTTGCGAGCGAGGAACAAACTTTTATTTTATGTACTGTCTGTCCGTAATGTAATTACTTGTATCTACAATGTGCTGTGTCTGTAATTGGCCTTGTAGTTATTGACTCGGCACATAAATAATAAAGAATTGAATTATTATTATTATTATTATTTCTGTGTGCTCGTGCTAACATTGTAATTGATCTCTGTGTTGTTCAGTTTACATGTAAATAAACAAGTATTGAATTACTATTATTATTAGTAGTAGTAGTATACGGAAGTGATGTAACTATTTACTGATGTAGTCGTTCCGCGGTCTACCGGAAAGATTAATATGTACATACAAGAATGCATGAAAAGACAGCGTAGATCGAATAAATAAGAGACGATGTGAGATAGCATGGAATAATTTACCTATCACCGGCAGAAGAAGATGAGGACCAATGAGACAGTGGCAAGTACTTGAGGCCGGTACTGGCCTTACCATTTCGCTGAAACAAGGGCGATAATGCAATTATTTGCCAGAGTTCTGCTTTCATGCAGCAACTGGAGTCACACTGCTGAAGCACTGTAACTGTATTGTTCTTACCACAGATATCTCCTTCACCTGTTGCCGCGTATAGTATTATAATTTCGTTGAGTCTGGGTAACTGATTTTGTCTCAAAAAGCCATCCTACACAATGCTCACGGTCCTGCTGAGTCGCCATTTCACAAACAACTGACTGAGAAACGTAAATACGGCCGCTTGTGCCATCTGTTGGCAGTAAAAGAAAACTGAAAGGAAAATAACAGGGAACTTCATAACATATGCATTCTTGAACTTTTGCTAGGGCCCCCAAACCAAGAAGCTTGAAGTGGGAAGGGCAAGCAACAGGTATGGGAAATGAGAAATGCATGCAGAAGTTTGTTAGGAAAACCGAAGTCGGTATAGCGACTGGATATGGGTTGGACGACCGAGGTGTCGACTTCGAGTCCCGGGAGGATCAAGAATTTTCCTTTCTCCATGTCGTCCAGGCCGAAACTAGGGCTCAGCCAGCCTCCTATCCAATGGGTATCGGGGGCTTTTTCCCAGGGGTGTAAAGCGACAGGGACGTGAAGCTGACCACTCGCCTCCAGCCAGTGGCTAAGCCAAGTAAACAGGGATCTATATATCCACTCCCCCCTACACCTTCATGGCGTAGTGCTTAACTAGTTAAGAACAGGGACAACTTTACTTTTACCTTTAACCCGATAAGAAGAGAAGAGAAGTACTTGACAGACCAAGGTATACACGATGGCATAATATTAAAATGAATCCTAAAGAAAGTTGTGTGAGTTTGGACTGCGCAGAACCATTTTAGGATAATATCCAGCGGTAGGGTCATTGGGAATATTCTGACGGAACTCAGGGTTTTATTTTTGACTCGATTTTTATTCGATTATTCTATTTTTGAGTCAATGAGTGACTAACAACAGTTCAATCAGACCCCTTAAATTGGAATAAGTTAGTGTTCTGTAGTTCTCTGGAACGGCAAATTCATGAATATTAGCATAGTATTGGTAAAATAAAATTGAGAATTTCACGCACGCTGCTGTAAATATTGTGTCAGACAAGACCATTTCCCCGTGGCTGGCCTTTTCCAGCCTGATGCGAGTGAGGTATGACGGCCTGAATTCTCGAAGCTGTCAGATTTCATTGTGTTTACTGTCCATTTCACGTTACCCATCGCATTTATATATATTCTCGGCGAGAAAGTGGAATCCATTGATTCGTATGAAACCTACTGCATGCGAGATGTACGGCTAACATTCTGTGTCAAGAGTTTGTCATAATTTATATATTTATAGATTATTTCTTGAACCCTATCTGTAGTACCCAATTTATTTTAGAGCAATTTTTTATCTTATTTCTTATAATAACTAAATTAAAATTCGTTTTTCGTGATTTTAGAGAAGTGAATGTTTCAATAAAATATGTGTAATTTGAAGAAAGCAGTCTTCTGGGATTTGGCACCGTGTATATGTGCTAATCGACGTTTCGGAGGAACGTATCGCCTCCATCTTCAGGGTAGAAGAAAAAATATAAGAAATCTGCAAAGCGAAGAGACCGTGAGAACCGGTAAAAGCAGAGTCTTATATTTTTTCTTCTACCCTGAAGATGGAGGCGATACGTTCCTCCGAAACGTCGATTAGCACATATACACGGTGCCAAATCCCAGAAGACTGCTTTCTTCAAAGTCACCGCCGTGAAAGCCTCAAATCTTACATATGTGTAATTTATTTCCGTTTTTGGAAGAAACAACAAGCAGTTTATTATCTAATGAATAAAAGTAGGAATATGTCGATCAAATTTAATAATCTGGGAAGTGGTTAAAACCGATACTTGAAATACATAGTTGTTTTCAAAATGCCAATGGGATACGTTATATGTTTTCAATCTGATTATGTTAAAAGTATTTTATAGAGACAGGTTATGCAAATATTCCATATGATACAGAATTACTGGATTTTTTATTTTACTTTTTCCAACGTCCGGTATTCTAGAGAATAGAAAACACGACGTTTCGGAAAGAGGTAAGCTCAGTTGTGATTAGCTCTTTCTATGGGACTCAACCGAGTAGTTGTCCTCCCTCCTACACCTTAGGACGGAAACAGATCCAGTTTCCGAAACGTAGTGTTTTCTATTCTCTAGAATACCGGACGATGGAATAAAAAGTCCAAAATCTCAGTAATTCTGTGTGTTATATATCACCGTCAGACCCCTTTATATTCTAGTACCATATTTATTTTAATATTTTAATTTTTTAATTTAATTTTAATATTTAATTTTTAATTTTAATGATGAATAAGACTGTATTCCATATAGCACGCTACACAAAAATGAAATTATCCTGACAACTTCGTCTTACTAGAAACGCCTTCACGTACACAGAAAATTGCTCCGAGTCAAGAATATTCATTCATTCATCAGTAATCTGTCAGACGACAGGTCCACAGTCTCTTCCAAAACAGTTCCTCCACTTGATGCGATCTTCTGTTTTTGGAAAGAGACTATCCAGGAAAAGTGATAATGTGGTAGTTTTTCCATTTGCTTTCCACATCGCAGTACAAGAGCCGTTCAAACCACTCTGGTCACGCCTGTTCCTATACGAACTTGAACCATCTCGAGCATCATTTGCTCTGTGCTTCAAGTCGCTGCTGATGACGCTGCTTCCGGCATCAGTTTTTGGTGTCTCTCTTCGTCTGATGCCTACCCTTTGACCTGTCCAGCAAGGGAGGCCCTGCCAGTAGCTACGCTACCGCTGGTATAGCTCTCAGGGTCCTTGGCATACTCAAACCCCCTCACCACGATAAGGTGGTCACCAACGAGGGGGTCAAGAATATATACGCGTTAAAAAGGATTCCATGCTGAAATATGACACAAACACCAAAAGAGCATCTCTCAATAGCCCTACAGCCCTTTGGACCTTAGACGCTTTTTCATTCCTTATTCCTATACACAGAATGTTCATATAATCTAGTACTTCCAACCCTTACGTGTGTAATTTCATTTTCTGTACATAGCCTTCTAGGTTAATTAAAATGAACTTATAACTTTAACTTGTACGTCAGTTTTCTTTACATACTTGGAATAATTTTTCTGTTGGAGAGTAACCACCGTTGATTTATACAGTGAAATACCGTATTTACGCATGTATAGGCCGCAGCACAATTTTCAGACAGAAATTATAGAAAAAATAATTTTCTTGGAATATTATTTCAGGAATAGAAATTATTCCGAAATGAATATGATTAAATGAAGTGTGATTTCGAATATTTCGAATATAAGCCGCACCCCAGTTTTCCTCTTGAATTTTTGGCAAAAAATGTGCGGCCTATACATGCGTAAATACGGTATGTATCTTCGAAAGGAGCGACTGGTATGATGACTTGGCATAATGTGAATCCGTGACTGCTGACAGATGCAGTGAAACGCGTGTCTTTGAAAGCAAAGATTGACGTGCCGACGTAGCGTAAAAAAGACAACGGTCTGTCCACAGATATTTGTGTTCTGCTCGAAGTCTTGTAAAATTCTCTTTCCATCCATGTCTTGGTCTTATTTTTCTTCAAAGTTTCATTGTAAAAAAATTCATGCATTTTTTTTTCTTTCATGACAGATTATGTGTGTTCATCTACAGCTTTTGGTAAGACGACGAGACGGTAGAACATTTCAAACAGATACGTGCTCTTAACTTGAACTTCGGCAGGCCTAGAGGCTGCAATTCTCTTGTATACTCACTTTCACACACACTTGTGCGGCTCTTGCACTATGATGATGTCCTGGGCTCTGGATATGGCTCATGACTCTTTAGAAAATGTATTAGGGAAGAGTGATTTAAGTATAATCGATCGAATTGTTTTAATTTGTTCACGATAGTCATTATAATGTCCCTGTGTTTAATTAGATAAGCAATATACAATGAAGACACATGGAGGAGTGACGGTATAGCTCCACCATTCTTGACCTCGGCACTAGATGGAGGTGAGTGGCCAGCTTCAAGCCCCTGTCACTTTACTTCCAGGGAAGGAGCCCCCTGTACCCATTAGATAAGAGGCTGGATGGACGCATTTTGATTTTATTGCTGCCTACTTCATGCTGGCGTCTTATGTAGTTTACTGTTGGCCCCTAAACACTATTTTTTTATTGCTACTGTGGTGGGACTAAGTTCCTTGTACTGCGGCCACTTCTGGCCTATTGTACCAGCCCCAGATGATAGGTGAGGGTGATTGTGGAGCAATTGGTGGAATGAAGATTTGCAGGGGAAACCGAAGTACTCGGAGAAAACCTGCCCCAGCGCCACTTCGTTCACCACAAATCCCACTTGACCAGAGCCGGGATGGAACCCGGGCCGCCGCGGTCCCTAAACACTAAGGCGACATGTTACTCCGAAACTTTGGTTGATTTTCAACGGATTACACCGCGTTATATCCCAGAAGGTAGGACTCTTCGGTTTCCTATATTTTTCACATTGTACAGAACAAACAATAGTCTACAAGGGTAATTTCTCCGTTGCTAACATGCCTGAATATATTATATATTTGAACACAGAGCTCGGTGGGTTTCCATTCACGAATTCAGCGAAGGAGAAATGCTTTACAAAAATTGTCGTTAAACCCACAAGCTACTAATCCTCACACGGTTCCTTAAATGATGAACTTGAGGTTTCGTGGGAAGGCAATTTACACACTACGTCTGGATTTTCAGTTTTCCATTTCCGACTATACCTAAAGAACTATCAGTATTTTTACGGCAATTAGTATATATTTAGGAATTTGTAAACTTAACATCATCTGGTAAACACTTCACATAAAATCGAAAGAATTCTGTCAAGTCCCCTTATTAATAGTAAGTGTGTAATTAACACCATCGAGTAGAGACCTTCTTAAGAAGTTACGAGAAGCTAAACCGGTAAAGCAATTCCCTTTCACGTAACCAGAAAGTTCATTACAGAGTTCATAGGATCCTACCACTAATAGCAAACCCCAAAGTTTATTTGGTGCAAAATCGATAGCATGTTTAGCGAGTAATCCACACCCCATTACAGAGTCGCATTTTAATCTCCACCCCGTGGTGCAAGGGAATGGGGAACACTGAGGTTTAGAGGAATTAAGTTCAGATTCGAAGTTTTTTTGTGCACTCTGCTGAACGGTCACTGTGCGTGAGCATTTGCTGAAGCTGAATTCTCTGTAGCGTTGTTTTGAAATATAGATTATTTAACTCACTGAATTATTATATGCTTGGTTCGACAGATGTTTGCATTCATCAAGGGTTACGTGCACTCGGAGTTAATCCCAACACGTGTCACAATAAAGCAACTGTGTCATACGTGACATTAGGTTCTATAAGTTCTATTTGAAATACTGTCTGATGTGATGAAAACAAGGATAATTAATTCTGAAAGTAAGGGACAGAATATCTATAGCATGATCAATATCAAAACAAGAGAATATCATCTAAAAGAGTCTCTTAGGCCAATGTTGAAAGTAAATTTGGAGAAAACTAGTTTGCTAAGTCCTTGGAGTGGGGTGAGACTGAGTCCAATTGGTACCAGCACGGAAGATAGATGATGAGTGTGGAGCAAGAATTGGCAAAGGAAACTTACGGAATCGGAGAAAACCTGCCCCAGTGCCACTTTGTCCACCAGAAATCTCACATGAATTGATCTGGGCTCGAAGGCGGGCAGCTGTGGTGGAAAGCCGGCGACTAACCACCTGAGCTATGGCACGGCCCTGGAGAAACCTAAGTAAATAACTAACTTACAGACTAACTCCATTTAGTACAGTACGTGAACTTAATCTGTTAGTTAAGAAATAGCCACAAATTTACGAAACCCGAAGCCTGAACCTGAAGTCAAATCTGAACGCGATGAAATCAATGCCAACGCTCCTATTCTGTACTTTTAAAGATCCATCTATGCCAAGGTGTCCCAAGTGGTCTCACTCTTACATTTCTTCACAACGATGATTACGAAGAATGCAGTCTACTGGGATATAATGCCGCGTAGCTCGTTGAATGTCAACTGACGTTTCGGAGAAACATTTTGCCTCAGCCTTCAAGGTAGAATAAACCGAGCAAGAAACCAGCGTTAAAGGTGAAATATAAGATGCTTAAATTTGGCTGCGGTCAAGCATAAGACCGTTCAAATAACTAGACTGCCGTTGTAACGAAAACTATTATAAATAGGCCATAAACTGCTGTACTGAGCCTGAATTGACAGAGACCTTCTATATAATATATAAACAGCAAATAACATGTAAAATGTAAATAATTTTACATACTGACAATTGACTTAATACTGCTGACTGTGACTCTGACAAACGACAGACTCGTCCTCTCGTCATAGAGGGTGCCTCACTTGGACAGGGCAGTAACTTTCGAATGGGAAGGAATATCTGGTCATGAGCTCCAGATGGAGCTATACATCAAGACAGACACAGTGACCGTCAGTTGTAATGTGACTTTGACTCGTGAAAGCATGTGTCATGCAGAGCCCTGCTTGTCACCTGCTTTCACGAAGGGTTCTTTATTCGGGCTTATTCTTCGACCTTGAAGTTGAAGGTGATATGTTCCGCCGAAACGTCCGATGAATTTCAACCGATTACACCTCGTTATATCTCAGAAGACAGTATTCTTCATTTTGTAAGCTACCCCTTAATTATCTTCTCATCTGCACTCTTTGATATCTCAGTATGTTGTTATGCCGGGACTTACCTGCAGGATCAGAGTGAGTATCCAGAACAAGTCCGCCAGCATGTATGTTGACATGAGGTTCGTGTGGATGGTGTTCCTCAGGCACCGCAGGTCTCTGAAGGAGAAACAATTTTGTCAGCTCAACGTCAAGTCAGAACACAGGATGCACTTTTCGCGCAACATGAAAAGGTAAAATAAAAGCTGTCCCTGTTTTCAATAAATTAAGTAGCATACCATGAAGAAGTGTGAGTGAATGGGGATACAGCCGGTCTGGACCTGTTGAATAGAGACAAAAACTGTGGAATCTGCCCCCTTGATTCCAGCCCGTCGCTTTACCGACTGAGCTATCTCAGGACGCCAAAGCAATATACAGTATTTTATTTTCGCATATGCACTATATGTAGTGGAATTATTTTCAGGTACATTAAACACAGCTTCCTCAAGCAAAAGCACCGCGATAAATCGAGATATGTTTCAAGAAAAAACGTACTGCTTGTATCGAAACTCCGTGATTTTAGTCCGCAAGCGAACTATACCGACCGAGCGACCGCCGCTTGTCGGCGTTTTAGTGCCAACTTTTGCGGATAGAGGGTGTTCCGTGGTCAGCGCAACGAATCCCCTTGCCGTTAATTTCGGTTTTCTAGACCGGAGCCGTAATTTCCTTGAAATTGCTCCTCAATTATCATCACGAGGCTGAGTGGACCCCGTTCCAGACCCATTACTTCTCTGAAAGAAATCTGGTAGCGCCGGGAATCAAACCCGGAACTCTAGATCTGTAGCCAGGAACGCTGACCACTAGACCACAGGGGCGGAGTGCTTGTATTGAAACTACATACTTTAAATACTTACTGGTATAGAAACATTCTTTATGTATTTGAAATTTACGAAAATAATGTAGTTATAATATAAACAGTAAAATAAAGCTATCCCTGTACCAGGCCGTGAAGGCCCATAGGGTTGTGAGACGTTGAGGGTCCCACATTGTCTAGATAATGTGGGACCCTCAACGTCCCAGCAGATTCCAAACAATCTGCTCAAAGATGGTGGTAAGGTTGAAAAAAATCCAATGACCTCAACGGGACTTGAACCCGCGACTTTCCGGCTTGTAGCATAGCCCCTCAACCAATTGATATTTATTTGTGATATGAATTAAAACCTGCAGTTCTTAAATATGTTTGGCCAGCGTTATCGGAAGCCAAGTTTTCCGGATATGCAGTACACAAGGGGAAGATGGGAACTAACACAAGAACAAGAGTTTGGAGGCTTGAGCGTAGATGGGAAAACAATATCAAAATAAAAATTATAGAGAAAGAAAAAGTGTGTTTGACACGAGTTCCTGTAGTTCTGAGTGGTGTGTACTAGAATTTTAGGTTCCACCAAATGAATATAATTATTGACAAAATGAACAACTATCAGCTTATTCTGTATTTCAGCATCCTGTTGCACATCTTTAATTAACGTCTATGTATTAGGTCCGTCAATAAAGCAACGATCATTAAAATATTCACCATTTAACACCAACACAACATGTTTCGGCCACAAACGGCCATCCTCAGGTGTTTCAAAGCGTCTAATCTGTTACACTGCTTTCGTGCGCGACAAAATTAAGCGATGTAGTCCACTTAAAATAACATTAATAATTACTTAAAATTCATTAAATTTTTCTACTAGAATCTTTCGTAAAATGCTATTACCCCTTGTAAGGGGCACCGTCCACTTGTTTAAAACTATGTGATGTGTGTATTCCAGACAGTTTTGTTCCCTCGATCAGCGTGTGGTGTTGTCTTTACTAGTGTTTTCACTTAAATGGCGAATATTTTAATGCTTGTTGCATTATTGACGGAAATAATACATAGACGTCAAATATCAGCTTTCCAAGTAGAATTGTACTCCACTGGACTAGTCACATTGCAATTCATCACATAGACCGAGGGAAGTTATAAAATATTCATTCACGATCATGTCTAGTAACCTGAAGTTATGTTCGGAACTCCTGGTGCTCTAAGTGGCAGTTAACTCGATTGGCGTGGGAGCCTAAGCGCATTTTCGTATTCACGGAGCGTGACATGAGTCTTGCAATGGCTAATGATGTCGGAGCATGGGGAAATCTATAAGTAAACTGTGAAAGTATAGGAAACACAATGTTACAGAGAGATGCTCATGGCGTATTATCTCGTATCTGGAAGTTGGAAAAATGAGATATAATTACATGTTGACAAGGAACACTATTGATAAGCTACTGAATATTAACATAAACTTTTAATTTTACTTTATGAATTATTGGAGAATTTTAAAAATCGCTCGGATTTATATTGTCACATATCCGGGGTTTGCGTGACGAATAATAATTGGTTCTGGATTTGGATTTATTGGCAGTTTTATTACAATTACAACTAATAATAACAGGTCACAATCGATGACTGTCTAAGACTCGCTCCATTCCTTACTGGCCCACGACTGTCTTCTCTTCCACTGTGACGAATAACAAAGGAAGAATCATTGCTCAGTTTCTCGAATCGAGTCTTATGTTACGAGCGACGGTCAGTCGGCCAGTCTATCTTGGAATAGAGCATCCATCTGAAGCTTACGACCAGATTTCTTATTTCTGTCAGAGAGCTGCGGGTTTGTTGTGTCCATATGCTGCGCTGCCTGTGTGTGACACCACTGTCTTTATAAGAGGCGCCGGGCCGTCCTGGTATGGCCTCGCTGGACTGCAGCTCTCTGTTCTCCTACATTACACGTACGGTTCAATGGAATATTCAGGTGTCGTGTTGCGATATCATTGGGTAAACGGGTGAATATGCGACAAAAGGCTACATTTCCATTTTAACATTCCTCTGTCTGTCTCACTCTTCTCTCTGATCGTAATGCGAGTCCCATAGGGCTAGCAGATCGCTATTATATGGCACAGCGTAATGTCCAATGATGCTTTACAGGGAGATAATCGAAAACAGTAGGAAGGCGTTGAGGATATTGGCATGAATGGCAGAAGAATATTTAAATTAATTAGTCGTTACTCTTTGCTCTGTCGCTCTCTCTCTCTCAGCCCCATCGTCAAGTGGTCTTACCGAGTACATTACTAGTGCTGTACTAACAGGTAAAATTTCATAGCCCCCATAATAATAATAATAATAATAATNTGGTGTTCCCAAGCGGTCACCCATCCAAGTACTAACCACGCCCAATGTTGCTTAACTGCGGTGATCGGACGAGAACCGGTGTTTTCAACATGGTATGACCGTTGGCCGAAGCTAATAGTAAGTCCACTTGAATTTAAAGTACATTACATTAATTCCATGTGTTTTAATATGTGTATAGTCATCAGTTGTCCTAATATTTTCAGACTTATTAAAGAAGGTGATCATTCTAAATACACTATTTTCTCACGAGATGTTGCTCTCTATTGCTCATTTCCTTTACAGTACGGATCCCCGACCATGTAACCACCGGCACTTTGGTACAATCAAAGTTTTTTTTGTGCTCTAGAGTTCACAGAATAAACAGCTTATGAAGAATTACAATAAGAAATTTTCTCACGGCACAAAAACTCCATCACAGGTGAAACACATATTCGTGTTTCATAAAGAGTCCCATGCACGCTCAGTAAACATTTAAGGGCACCAAAATGCCGGTGGTAACGGGCTATTTGGTCGGGGATCCGTACTGTAAAGGAAATGAGCAATAGAGAGCAACATCTCGTGAGAAAATAGTGTATTTAGAATGATCACCTTCTTTAATAAGTCTGAAAATATTAGGACAACTGATGACTATACACATATTAAAACACATGGAATTAATGTAATGTACTTTAAATTCAAGTGGACTTACTATTAGCTTCGGCCAACGGTCATACCATGTTGAAAACA